TCCTACACACTGTGCCTTTAAGGAAAAAAAATGTAGTGAGTTTATGTGAAAGTAATGTTTCAGTTGATTTAAGTAAAGTTTCTTTATATTTCACCTTTCATAGATTAAAAAAAATCACAAAGTGGTTCCAATAAAAGCAATAAAATAAATTAAAACGTCATAAAAGCATTGCGTCAAACAAAAGTACACCTAGTAAAAAAAAAGAAAAAAATCAGATTTACATCCGATAGCATCATTACTCTTTATTTGTACTTTGTTTTTTAAAAATCTAAGAAATATAATAAAATAATATAATAAAAAATGTAAAATGTTTATGTTTTAAAACGTTAAATGACCACTTTGTATTGAATTTATTTTCACAAATCACTTTGTTGCTGTAACATATTATAGACTTTAAATTAAAAGCGTTCTAGGTTTTAAAATGCAAATAATCACTAAATAGTGACAGAGAGATCACGTTCTGATAAAATGACCCGGTGCTGCTGTTTATGTGAAAGAGCTTAAATAAGTTAACCGTGTCAGATCAGTCTGTGGGTCTGCAGGACTCCACAGATCCACGTGGTCTCTGCAGATCTGATGGAGTCTGCTGCTCCTGCTGGCCACTGGTGGTTCTGCTCCATCACAACCAGTCCTGGTGCTGTGTGTGACTCACTGTTTGTGTTCCAGCAGGAGAACGGCCACGTCAAAGTTAACGGCGACACTGCTCCTGCAGCAGCTGAGGAGAACAAGGAGGAGGTGCAGGCCAACAAGGAGGAGGTGCATGCCAACGGCAGCGCCGCCACCGAGCAGAGCCCCGAGAAGGAGGCGGAGCCAGCTGAGGCTGCGCCTGTAGAGGAGGGAGCTGCAGATGCTGCGACTCCTGCTCCTGCTGAGGGAGAAGCTGCAGCCAAGGCTGAGGATGGTGCCGCCCCCTCCACCAGCAACGACACCCCCAAGAAGAAGAAAAAGAAGTTCTCCTTCAAGAAGTCCTTCAAGCTCAGCGGCTTTTCTTTCAGGAAGAGCAAAAAGGAGACTTGTGAGAAAGCTGAGAGCGAGGCGGAGCCAGCAGCTCCTGAGGAGCAGGAGGAGCAGCCTGCTGCTGCAGCAGCTGAGGAGGCCACGGCCCCTGAAGGTGAGGTGCAGACCACTGAGGAGAAGCCCACTGAGGAGAAGCCCACTGAGGAGAAGCCCACTGAGGGTCAGCAGGCCAAGGAGGAGGTAGAGCAGCAGCCGGAGGAGGCGGAGCCAGAGAAACCTGCAGAGGAGTCAAAACCTGCTGAGCCTGCAGCCGAGGAGGCGCCCCAAACAGAGGAGGCCTCGCAGGAAACTGCAGAGGCTGCAGCCGCAGACCCCGCCCCCACATCAGACCCCGCCTCCGAGGCTACAGAATAAGATCCAAACCAACAAAACCTGTTCCTGATGGTACATCGAAGCGACATCATACGCTGGCTTTGAAAAACAACATATGTGAGCCATCATATCAAAATGAGGATTAATTAATTTGGTCAAAATGACCTAATTACATTTTTAGATTCTTGWCTTTAAAAGCTACATTTTGACACCTGGATCATCCTGATATCATAATTAAATCCATATATGTGACTTAATTTGTCTTGTTGGTTACAATAATACATAAATATTTGGTCTGAATCCTAATTTTATGTCATTTTATTGAGGAATTTTTGATGTATTTATAAAGAGGAAACCTTAAGTT